TTTAGGAGCCATATTCAAAAGAATCCAAACATAAAATAGAAGCACGGTCTGGACCAAAAAATACTGTTTGCAATAGGCACTCCAAAACCTCAAACTATGCCGCCACAGGATCAAGGTCATGGAACAACCGAGAAATGATCAAATGGACACTTATAAAGAGTCGNTAAAACATTTAGGAGCCATATTCAAAAGAATCCAAACATAAAATAGAAGCACGGTCTGGACCAAAAAATACTGTTTGCAATAGGCACTCCAAAACCTCAAACTATGCCGCCACAGGATCAAGGTCATGGAACAACCGAGAAATGATCAAATGGACACTTATAAAGAGTCGAAAACTTTCAAACGCCACGTATAAAGGGACTTCAGATCAAGTTGATTTAAAATTCTTGTACTTATGCAGACATAAAATGAAAAAACAACCATGTAAGGGTATGAGTTAATACCAGAAGACTGAGAACGACTAGCGCCTGAAGGTGCACCCCAAGGACGAACATTTGATGCTCCTGATCTACTGGGTTCCACATCCCGTTGCAGCTGGTTTCTAGAGCTGCTGCCACCACCACGTTGCTGAGGCTGAGGCTGTTGTGGCGATGCCCGGACCCAAGCAGTACCACTGCCGGCTCTGCCGCTAATAACATCTTGTTGTCGCTGCTGCGGTGGTGGTCGCGCCCAAGCAGTACCACCGCCTCTACTACCATGTTGCTGTGGCTGCTGCTGCGGTGGTGGCCGGGGCCAAGCAGTACCACTGCCACCACGGCTGACCCAAGCAGTACCACCACGACCCGGATTCTGACCAACTGTATGGTGCTGACCCGTACCCTGCTGATTATAAGGAGCCCCACGACCCTGATATTGACCCGGACCAGATGCCCTTGGCTGGTTGCCCCATAGCTGTGGAGGCTGAAATGGTGGCTGCTGATTGTATGAACCCATCTGGGGCCCACCTCTTCCGCCTCCACGGCCTTGCTCCTGTTCGGAGTTACCACCGCCACGGCCTCGACCACGGTTACCTCCACCGCCACCACGTCGGTAATTTCCATGGTCCATTTTCCAACTTCACTGACAGAAAATAAAACAACTGTAACTTTTCAAAAAGAAAAATTATATACTCCTTTTTAGTTGTCATATTTTGCTTCGAGAGTGAAAGTAAACTTTGATCAACATTTAAAACTTTTTGTCATAAGAAAAATTATAAATTTTAGTATTTTTCTTATAATTTTTAAGAATGTAAATTTTAATTTTATCTCTAATTTAACTTTAAAATTAATTAAATTAACTCTTGAGAAGTAAATATTACAACAATTTAAAACCAGAGAGAGTAGAAATGACGCAAAAGAAAAAGCTCATAGTTATCTGTATTTTATGAGCTTCCAAGATGAGTTCTATGCCATGGGAAAATAGCAAGTTAAGTAGATTTTTTTGGGCAAAAAACATGATCTGATTTAGTGCATTTTGATTTGTACACACTCTCTCAACCATCAAATCGGGCTGGTGCCTCTTTTGATTTGCACTAGCTATTTTTTAGGGGCAAAAACCTCAAGAACGGCCAGATCGAATTGGGTCCTAACACCCACAACCACCAATTGCAAGTACACAAACTCATACAATAATCAAAATTATCTTCTTTAATTAATCTAAAAAATGGAGAAATCAAAGAGCTTGCAATCAAATGCAGAAATAGTCATATCTTAAAACGTGAAGAATTTGAGATTACTGCAATATATAATAGGATGATTATCCCAAGGCACAAGCATCAGAAATCCAATTCAGGGCTAACGATCACGTGAATGGAGGCCAATTTTTAATTCTACGGAGCCAACTTAACTTTTATTTTATAATATAATATCCCAAAATTCCGAACCTGAGAAGCTAGAATAAGCGTACTCGTATAAAGTTTAAGAAACAGTTAACATCTGAATACTTACCTGCAATTATAAGGTCAAATATTGGAGAGAGATCATGAACAGGAAACCCTACATTCTCAGACGAAAGACGAAAGTGAGAGTAAAGTGGCTATTCGTTTGTGTGAAAATGGTCTGGAACTGTACGAAGGAGTGTATAATTTTCTTATTTATTGTCCCGCTGGTATGAGATCAAAATCATCAAATACCACATATAAGAAGTTGTCCCACTGCTTTTTAACCTTATTTCACCTGCTGAAGTCAATGTTCAAGAACTGATTCAGAAGAGCAAAAAGTAATGAAGAAATGAATTTAACTTGTATATATTGACAACGTCATGAGTTAATCATTATTTTTAAGATCAACAACAACAACAACAAACCAAGTGTAATCCCACAAGTGGAGTTTGGGGAGAGTAGTATGTACACAGTCTTACCCCTACTTTGTGAAGGTAGAAAAGTTGTTTCTAATAGACATGAAAAGCATAGCCACAGCATAGTTGAAAAGATTATGGTATACATAGAACAGCCCTAGTAAGGACTGCTGATAAATAATTTCGCAGCACCGAATATTCAAGCAGAAATGGACTTAGAAAGCTTATGGTATTTTTGCAGATTGGCAATAAAAAATGTAAGGGTAATACAGGCAGCGTAGACATGAGATTATTCCTAGCTGCAAAGCGGAGCCCTATAATTCAGTATATGCACTTTTTATACATTCGGCATCTGGGCATATGCATCTGCTGCAACAGATCCTATTTCCTGCGTGCAATTTTCTACATTTTCTACATAACAAAGTATACAAATAACCAAGTTGAGATGAAAAGATGCAAAGAATTCACTCTAAAACCTATCTTCCTATGAACGTTGCAGCTCTCGTATTCCTATGAAGAAAAGGGAATCCTAATTCCCAGATCTTAAACCTTTCGCCCTATTTATCGACTACTCTTGTTGAGTCAGATGGCTAATTCCATTTACCAAAAAAATAATGGGCCTGAATGATCAACTAACATAATGTTTACCAATTTTTTCCCAGTCTGTTGATCCATTTGATGGATTGCACCTATAAAAGCAGAATAGTGAAGAGTCAGCATCACAAATTCAAGGTAAAAATGACAATTAAGGAGCAATATTCAACAAAATAATAATTAAGGATCCATGTTCAAAAGAATCCATTTTCCTTCAATGATCAATACTAGAAGCATTAAAAGCCACAAGAGGGG